GGGCTGGGGATTCGAACCCGCCACCTTAGGTGTACGTGGCTGGCGCCTTAGCCGGTTGAGCTATAGGCGCCGAGCCTAAAGTTATATTTCTAATAAAAATAAACGAAAAAGACTTAGCAGTAAGCAGCCAAGACTGAAATAGACTAGCACAGACTAGGATCCTGATTTCAGCTATTCTTTTCAGAAATAGACTAGAACAGACTAGGATCCAATGATTAGTGCTAATGTGAGGAATTTGATTACATTCTTTTTTTTTGTTTTCTGAGATACAGCCTCAAGCTATCACCCTAGGTAGAGTGCTGTGGCATCACAGCTCACAGTAACCTCCAACTCCTGGGCTTATGTGATTCTCTTGCCTCAGCCTCCCAAGTAGCTGGAACTACAGGTGTCACTACAACGCCTGGCTATTTTTTTTTGTTGCAGTTGTCATTGTTGTTTTAGCTGGCCCGGGCTGGGTTCGAACCCGCCAGCCTGGTTGTATGTCCACTGAGCTACAGGCGCCACCTGATTACATTTTTTGTTCAAATTCATTTCATCCAGAGTCAAAACCTCTTTTCTACCCAGTCACATTGAGTGACGTAGCGCACACATACACACTTTAGCTCATAACTGTTTGATTTTAGGTAAATGGCAGGGCACTCATTTTAACAGTCAAAGAAAGGGCTTGAAATAGAGTCAAGGTACCTTTGAATACTCTTGTGGCCCATCGTGCCTGGAGCTCTGTGGCTGCTAAGATGGACCCTTTAAGGCTGATCAGGCCAATGATGGCTAATGTTGCTCTTTCCAGACTCGAGGGAAAGACCAGCTTGTATAGGAACATCTTATTCATACAGAGGCTTCTGAGAGGTTCTTCAAGAAAAGGAAAAGCAAAGGTATATCCTGTGGTGAAGATCACACTATCAATGTTTTCTTCCACCGTCCCGTCTTCAAAGATGGCAGAGGTTTCTGTAAACTCCAGCACGCTGGTTTTCATGGTGACTGTCCCACAGAGGATACAGGTTGGCAGCTCATCGTTCACAATCGCTTTTGGTTTTTTCCTTTGACACAGAGGAGAAAATCATTCACTGTCATTATATCATTGAGAAACTTCAGCATTGAGTCAATTCAGGGCAATCACTGCCCGAGGAAGTAAATTGACCCGTGTCTAATTCAGTCGTTTACCTGACTTACTGCACTGATGACATGCTTTGTTTTTCCATTTCCAGTAAAAGGCATGTGGAAAATGACCAGACCTACTCTTTCCTGCCTGGGGTTTAAGATTCTCTATCTCTAGGAACTAATTTCTGGAGCAGTGTTTTTCTCAGAACATCAGGATAGAGGACTCGACAATCTGCCTGATGATTAGTTTTGAGTCTCACATCCCCTAGGTTTCCACAGAATGATGTTAGGCAAAGAGGAAATCAAGAAACTCCTTTTTTTTTAGACAGAGTCTCACTTGGTTGTCCTGCATAGAGTGCTGTGGCATCATCACTCACAGCAAACTCTTGAGTACAAGGGATCCTTTTGCCTCAGCTTCTCTAGTAGTTGGGACTGTAGGCACTCGCCACAATGCTGGGCTACTTTTTTAGAGATGAGGTCTCGCTCTTGTGCAGGCTGGTCTCAAACTCCTGAGCTCAGGCAATCCACCCTCCTTGGCCTCCCAGAGTGCTAGGATTTACAGGTGTGAGCCACCGTACCCAGCTCAAGAAACTCCTTAAATCCCTCAATGAATCCCCAACAATTAAAAAAAAAGAAAAGAAATTCCTTAAATAAAAAAAAAATCTTTACAAAACTTACTTATCAAATCATCCTTTGTCATTAGTCTTCCTTATAAATTAAAAGATAGCTCACAGAAAGGAATGAAACAGGAAAAAAAAAATAGGCAAAAAAAGAAACAAAAATCTTTTTTTTTTTTTTTTGAGACAGAGCCTCAGGCTGTCCCCCTGGGTAGAGTGCCATGGCATTACAGCTCACAGCAACCTCCAACTCCTGGGCTCAAGCGAGTCTCCTGCCTCTGCCTCCCAAG